TACAGTTTTCTCACCGGACGAGTCATGCCATTTCTCGAACCACTCGAACACACCGTCTCTGCCTGTCGAAAGCTCTAGAACCCGAGCGATGGGCCAGTTAACTCCCCTGAGGTTTTCGCATCCGACTAATACAATGCCTCCTACTTTTAATTCGCAGTTTTTCTGTCCATGTCTCTGGATCAACTGTCCCAGATACTCCTTGCAAAAACGGCTCCGCATCTGCTCCCTGAGCTCTTGGCAAAAACGTTTACATACCAGGAGTTTGTTTCTGTCCAGTATGTCTAAATCAGCTATTCCTGAAACTCTTATATCCTGTAAAAACATAGAAGCCGTTAATGGTAGAAGATCCTCAGATTCATGGGAGATATAAGTGAGTGGTCGACAGTTTAATGTCACAGAGAATAGTAAGTAGCTCTTCATAATTAATAGAAGCCTAACCCAAGACTCTCACAATCAAATTCTTGACGGAACGAACTAGTCGCTCCCACCAGGCGGCCGTGGGTGGAATAAATTTCCATGTTATGGGATTTAACGTTTCTTGAGAAACCACTTTCTTCCAATCAACCTTTTTCAGTCCTGCTGCAGCACCGACAAAATTAGTCCCGTTATCTGAATATACAATAGACGGTCGAACTCTGTGGGCTATGAAACGACGGAAGGCTTGGATGAAGCATTCGGTACTTATGGACGTTACCTATTCCAGATGCACACATCGATACACAGCACAGGTAAATACTACCCAGGATTTATTTTTACTTTTGAGAATCAGAGGGCTACATAAATCTACACCGGTAACTTCGAATGCGAATGCATCCCTAACTCTATCTAGTGGTAATTGAATAGGTGCAGTAGTCGGAGGTTTTGCTGAAAATCTTTTACACCAGACACACTGCTTTACCACTGATCTTATTGTGCGTCTCGCACCATTAATCCATAATTCTTCTCTAATTATGACAGTGTTTGTACGCTGGTATGAAAATACCTTAAATCAGCAGTCACCAAAATTTTATATCTCATTTAAATTCATAATTTAAATCCAGTGGACCAATAATATGATTTTTTAAGTGTTAAATATATTTTTTAAAAAATTGTGTTTAAAAACATAAAATGTCCTTTTTTAAAAAAATTTAAAATTAACCGAATTATAAAAATTTATTAATAAACCATAATAAAATAAGCAAATAAACAAAAATTAAAAAACGGTTTAAGTATATCAAAAGCCTGTGTTTCTCTTTTTCCCCTTTTAACCTTTCAATCAATCAAAAAGTTAAAATTTTTTTACATTAAAATTCTTTATTGGTGGATGTTTTTTAAACTTAAGTAAGATTATGGTATTTTGACCCAATGCATTTATATTTCGCTGATAGATCCGTGTTTTGATGGTTGTGACAGATGAAGGGCCTTTTTAAATAAATAAGTTTGGGAAAATTGAATCAAATTTTTCATCGCGCCCAAAAAAAGACTTTTTTTTAAAGAAACCGAACTTTATAAGGAAAATAAATTTTAAATTTAAAATTTTTTGTCTAAATAGGTTAATGGGCTTTCTTTTGATGCAAGCTTAAATTATCCTAAATTTTACTGCAAACGGATATATTACCCAATATTACCATGTCAGTACGATTTTTACCTGGCATTATTCAATGTGACGTTATTCTATAAAGTATTTTTTATAATTTTTCGTATTATTATATGAATTTAATTATGTTGTAATACTTTTAAAAACATAACAACGTGTTGTGAATATATTCTCCCTTTTTCCGGGGACCGGAAATTTTCTCCGGACTACCATTTTAGAGGCCTCTGCCTTAAATATAATTCTGATTAAATAGTTGCGAGTGATGCCTGAAGGCAATAGAATAGGATAACGAAATAGATAAGAATCACCCCTTTCAATGATTTTGTTCCAATTTTCCCAGACCCTCTGATCTCGCATGGTAAAAGAGATTTGAACCCCCAGTTTGGGGAAACTGCCTGAAGGGAAAAAAGTGCACCCCTGGAATCCTGCCCCCCATCGACGGATGGTGATTTACCACTTTCCGGCTTTTTGGTGAATCTCTCCCAACCAAAATCAGAGTCATTTTTGAAAACTGCGAAACCTTGTCCCCCCTCCTACAACCTCAAAGATTTTTTAAATTTTTTTCCGCCCGACAAAAAAAATTTCATCGGGATTACTTTCCAATTTTTGGGCCATCTATCCCCGGGGCTTTGACCCTCAGGCCCCCCCCCGTCTGATTCAGAAAACTGGGGGAACAACCAGGGGAAGACAAGTCAGCCGGTTAGAAGGACCCGGTACATAGGACCATTGATGGCTCTAAGCCAAATTTTTCGTGTTTTCCCCACAAAGTTCCCCAGGCATCTTGCCCCGAATCAAGATATAGCTGTGGGAAATCAGCCCAAAAATTTGGGGATCCATCTAAGGTTTGTGTCTCATATTTGAAAAGACACCCAAAAAACACGCCATAATTTCCCAAGGGGGGAATGATTCCTTCGGGTGCAACTTTGACCACCTTTTAAAAACCCCGGAATTCTCCTCTTTGTTTAAATCGAAAAAAATTACGGTGGCGCAAGCGTGCTGGCTGCATCCCAGAACACATGAAACCAAAAATTTTATCTCTAAACCCCATGCGCAACGTATTCTTAACTCGTTGGGGTTTCCAACCAAACCATTCAAAATTTAGTTTTAAAATTCCAGGCAATGGGATCCCCCCCCTCCACACGCCCACATTTCCCGTAGTAATAACTTTTCAGTCAGCAAAACAGGCGTTAAAAACCTAAAGGATCAAACATTGCCTGCGTAAAGGGGGGGTTTTTCCCCTTAGACAAGTTTTCTGAAACCAAACAGTCTTACTTCCCAAAAGGGGTATCTCCTTTCTATCCCACATAATCCCCAAAACTGGCACGATATTCTCCCCGTGTTTCCCGTTTAAACTATCTAGAGCTGACCTCCCACCGCCCTACTGGGCCATAGGTCCACAAACTAAGTCCATCTTAACATCAGCTTTTCACAAAATCCCAAAACTTTCTTTTTTTGTCTTCAGACATTCGCAATTATCAATATAAAAGGTTTTCTTAATTTTTTGGGAAAAACCCCGTTCCGGTACTTGTATAAAGGCCGAAAAACCGCCCCCCTTTGGGCTAGACCTTACCCCCAAAAACAGCCTTGTGTGCGGAAAACCTTCAAAACTTGTTTTTCTCCTACCGAAGAAATCGGAGAAAGTATCTTTTGGCAACATTTGCAAAAATGCGCCCCGAATATCAGGGTAAAGCCAATCCTTTTAAATCGTAAAAAGATCGGGGAATCTCTTCAAAAATTTAGTTTTTGACCAAACAATCTTTAAAGGGAAAGGTGACCTACCAACCTTTCCGAGGCATAAAAGACGGGTCTTATTTTAGTCGTGACACTACCTGGTTTAAATACGGGGGATGTGGCAAGTAATGCCCCTTAAATTTCAATTCACGATCTGTGCCCATTTTAATCACCCCCTCCCCCCAAAACCCAAAGCTCCATCTCTTTGATTTGAAAACCCAACCTTCGGGTGATCCCAAAAAATTTTTTTTTCTGCTCTTGGTAATTCGATGGTGAGAGAGAGTTCCCACACTTTTTAAAAAGGTAATCCCAATAATGAAATTTTCTTTTTTTGTAAGAGAACTCAAAATTTGTCACGGGTTTTTCCGCAGCGTTAGAAAAGTTTTTATTAGCATCTAATATCCCGTAGCCCCAAACTCCAAAAATTTGGGATATTAAAATCCGGGAACTGCTAAACCCCGCCCTTGGGCGTTTCCCTTTCCCCAAAAACCATTAGATACCACAAACAACAGCAATTTTGAACAAACTGCCGTCAACACTCCTTTCAATTGCTTTTACCTGTCCTGTAAGAATTTTACCTTAGTTATCACTACCAATTGGTATATTTTGGGGCAGTCTGCCCCCATATCAGACAACCAAATGTTGTTTCGTTTTAATTTTTTTAATATCGAATTCTTGGACATCCGCGGTGTATCTCCACATATTACATTCTGATCCAAAAATTCAAATTCTAAATTTGAGTATGCTCGCAGACTGGCTGAACATAATTTTACCCAATATTTCTTACGCAACTTAGGCTCTGTCCTGGAACCGCCAAATAAAGTAAGAGCAACATTTTTCTTAGAAACGATTGGTAACCCCAATTCTGCAACTAATGATTCTGAAATATAGACCGCTGAGAACCACAATCCAAGAGTACTCTCACATTTTTATGCCGCTTGATACCAGCTATTATCACCCATTAAGTCATTAAAGCCAGTTCGCCAGTACAAATTTGTCTGGCAGTGTTTGAAGATTGCTTACGACTAGTCTCCCTGTTGGGGATTCCATTTTACTACCCATTCCTGTACATAAGATAACCGAGTGGGCTTTGCCACATGCAAAGCACCTAACAGTTTACAAAACTTCGCAATATGATTAGGTTCTAAACATTTCATGCAACATTTTTTCTCTTTAATCTTGGAAATCCTTTTATCAACAGATAATGCACAGGCAATGTAACAATTCTTACTCTCATGTATTTTACCACAAAAACACAAACATGATCTTTAGTTACAAGAAAACACATTGCAGCGGGAACACTTACCTGTTTTTGAAGTTATACTTCTTTTGGGATGTTAGAGAAATAGGATGAGGGTGAATTTTTACGATGCGCACGCACACCGTCACGGATGAGAAAATGCTTTGTCTAGAAATATACAGAACGGGACAGATCATTGCCGCCTTCAAAATTCTCAGGAAATATTTATCTTCACTTCACTGAAGAATAGGACACCTGGATTTGAACAGGAGACTTCTCAATCTTAAGTCGAATATTTTATCATTGAGCTATACACTCGCGTCAGTAAACCTTTGCTTTGCGTTCCGTAGTAACTGATACGAAGATGCTTTGTCTAGAAATATACAGAACGGGACAGATCATTGCCGCCTTCGAAATTCTCAAAAAAAATATTTCTCTTTACTTCCATGAAAAAGAGGACACCCGGCTTTGAACCGGTGACCTCTCGAACTGCAATCGAATGCTCTACCACTGAGCTATACCCCCGCGTCAGCTAACCTTTGCTTTGCGTTCTGTAGGAACGGATACGAAAATGCTTTGATTAGAAATATGCAGAACGGACAGATCTTTCCCCACCTTCAAATTTCTAAAAAAAATCTCTTTATTTCCCCTGAAGAGGGCTCCCGGGTTTGGACCGAGGACTCCATGTTTTTCCTTTGGGGTTCAATCTTTTGATGAGGTAGCGATATTACAGAGATAGAAGGATAAAACTTTGGGATCACCTACTACTCTGTGTATTGTTGGGATGTACGTGACCAATTACGTCACAGTTGTCCCCCTCCGGGGGGAGTTAATTTCGTTTTCCTTTCCCGAGCTAGCGCCGCCCCATTTGCAACTACAGACTCCGGACCGGTTCTAATGGATTCCTTTTGTGTTTCCTCATAATCAGGCCCAGTTTAGAGTTGCTGGATGCCCTGCTTCTATTTTAGTTAATTGTTTTAAATGATTTAATTATTTTAAAATGACCATAACTAAGGGTTCTTCAGGCAGATGTCTTAATTTTCTCATGAACGATTCTTCCCACCTAGACATTCAATGAGGTCTTAGGTGCCATATTCGTTCACCTCATTTTCAGATACAGTCTGCCGACCCCCATGTTATTGGTCCTATTGTCCCTATGCTGGGGTGTTTAAATTTATTTAAATCGTGATTATCTCGGGTTTGGCTGGTCCGATTGACTTCAGGTTAATATCATTCAATTGTGCTCGTGGCCGCCTTTCGTCCTTGGCCCAGCTTACCCTCCTCAAGATTTTTAGAAAGATTTTAATCTTGTTACGCCAAAGAAGTATAACTTCTTACGTGCGTACATAAGTACACACACGCCTTTTTTTTAAACTTGAATTTACTATCTTCTTCACCCCTTAGTATATCATGATAATCCTCTTTAAGGTTTATACTATCGAGTCCACCCCGAGCCAACTTTAATCTTTCCTCACCCTCCACTTCAGTCTTTAAAAATTTCATCAAATTGGTAAGGTGATATCGATCATTTTCTTCAGGCTGACCAAAAAGCGAACCCCTTTGCTATGCCTTTAAAACATTAGCAGTTTTCGTAAAAGAATTACGCAAATCGACTCGTTTAACTTTCCGAGGCCCCGAAGACTCCATGACCAATTTTCAAAACGAAATACACAACCCTTCAAAACAATTCTAATTTTAAACTTCTATTATAAATATAAAACTTCTAAAATATTAAACACAAAAAATTAACCTCTAAAAAGATTTCCAAAACTTCTAAAATATTATACACAGAAAACTACTTCCAAAAAATATCCTGTCGCGGACGCCACTAATGTTGGGGCACCTATCTCGCCACACATCTGACCCAAACCCTCAACTATCAACTTGTCTACCAGACACTGGTGCAGGTTCCAAAGATGTAGGTACACTCCCACTCACTCGAATTAAGAGAGACCACTTACCTGAGTAGCAAAAAATGTATAATCTTTATTAATAACACGAACAAACTTCACATATTAAAACATTAAAAGAACTGACAAAACAAAATTCTCCGCTCTTCTTATATAGAAAGAAAAACACAGTTGTGGAGCCATCTGTTGGACAATCTGAAAAACATTAGCTGACAAATTCTCAACAAACACCGTCGCCCATGCTGCCATCAGTATAGATTTTTAATGAGATGCCATGTGAGTTGTCTCCAGAGCCATCTATCTAGTAAATTCTGGTACATCTGACCTTTTACACACCCTGGTCAATAACACAGTCTGGAAATGTATTCGATCAGAATAGAACTTAAAATAGGAAAAGTCTTTAAAGAGGGAGGGTTCAACATTATACCAGAAAAGAGAGGCTCATATCACACCTGCCAAGGAAAAAGGGTTATGTTTCTTTAATCGCCTGTTATTGTGCCAAGAATGGAGATAAGCAGAAATTCTATGCTGGTCGTTGTAGCTGAATTGGTTATTGTAATATTTTACCAGGCTGTAACTTCTGATACAAAGCAATATTATTAGGGCAGCTTGAAGGACCTTCCTTGTAGAGGTTGATGTTTTCTAAATGTAACGTGGCTCAAAGCCCTCACGTTGGCGTAGAGTGGAAGTTTAGAAAGTGAGTTACCAGCTTTTAGATGCATTCATCACCTGACCGAGATTCAAAATTTTGTCGTCATTTTCACTGGTGTAGCCAGTCTTGAGTGGGTCCAGAGTCAGAATTTTTTGAGGGCCCTTTTTTGAAGCTCCTTGATAGCTTAGGATATTTTGCTTACATATGTTGAGGCCCCTGAAGCTTGGCAGCCCGTATCATTGATACGGCAGTAGCTACGCCCCTGGTCTGTTGCCAATAACACGTAGTGCGTTCTTTTAAAATAAGAATTAACAAAAATATCTAGTTTAACTTATTTAACATCGATTATACTCACTTAATATTCTTACGAACCATATAATGTTTGTCGCTAATTTAAGTAATACTGCTGAGAACGATATTTTCTAATAGATTTTTGCTTAGCTTGTTTTTTTCCACAAACGAAATTTTTAATCATGTTATTTACCTTATTCACTCGAATTTAAGCCGCACCCCGAATTCTCAACAAATCCTTATGGAAAATGAAAAATAGTTTAGAACCTGTAATTGCTCTGATTTCCCCCATCCAACTCATTTTTTTTTAAATTTGATTCTAAGCCGCAACCGATTTTCAGTAGCTTTAATAACGGAAAAAAGTGCGACTTAGATTCGAGTTAATACGGTATATAAAAAATAGTAACACAATTTTATCTTCTAATAAAAATGAGGAATTCTGCTTAAAACTTACTCATGTTATGAGCTTTCACTCTCACACAAACATTAAACTCATTCATCGGTGGCGTACACAAGGGGGTTGGGAGTTCAACCCCCCCCCACCCATCGACCAACATATTTTTAACTTTTGTCATAGAATTTGACCTCTCGGTGTTTTCATCTATGTGTTTTTAGAATGCAACACCTGATAAATATATGTATGCACCACTGAATCATAGATATATGTATATAATTAATTAATTTTAAAATGTTCAGAAATAATCCCAGAATTTCAAATAAGAAGATAATAACATTAACAGCTACATCCATTTTTGTGTAAATTGACAGAGAGAAACAATTCAAAAAATTATATCATTTTAGTAACTCTGACATTAACTGATATCTTCCTTTCTAAGAGTTGAAGCTAGAAGGGACATACTTCATTATAAAACAGTAAGCAAAGATTACATTTCGAGTTATAATTCTGTGCCTTTGTAGCCGAGTGATCATGATCGTGAACTCGTGGTCAGCATTGTTCAGTTGTAGGTTCAAGTCTCAGTGCCACTGAAGACCCATTCTGTAGAGGGGCTAATGCACATTAAATCTGTCAGGGCTCAAAATCCTCACATGGATGTATGGAGATTTTGTACCGACTCTCGTACCATTCTCACCGCTTGACCAGGGTTTCAGAATTACGAAGATCCATCTCCAATAGCTCTCTGGCGGCTTCAGAATGCTCACGATATACAATCAATCAAGTTTTATTAAATAAACACTTGTAATAAGCATAATCTATATATATATATATATAATGGTTTGTGTACGCTTCAATCACTCAAAAAGTTCTGCATCGATATATCTAAAATTTTGACATAACGTTGCATTTGAATTCGAGGGGTTTTATGTACTTTTCATTTCGAAATTCACTCTAAATTTTTTAAATTTAATTTTTAAGTGATTTTTCGGTGTTGTGACGTCGTATAATGTCCCGATTCTCTCTGAATATGAAAATTTAAACTTTACACATTGTTTTTTTTCCAGATTATTACATATTTTTACTTAGTGTTTATTGATAGTCATATTTATCAATCTTTTTGTTCTTTGATACGTAATTGGAATTATTTTTCGAATAAATAATTTTTAAAACTTATTCTTTCAACAACTCAAATTTTGTTTTGGAGTTTTGGCAACAATCAGACAGCATAATCGCGGGATGTTTACGATTTTGCTTATATCTTACATCGGGTTTTTTTTCTGTAATTTTAAGCTAAATTTATTTCTTTTTATTAAGCGAAGAGGAAAATTATATTTGACTTCTGTACACTACTTATTTTTCTACGAAATAGTTGTTACTGATCTCCCTAAACCAGTAGCGTACTGATTGAAATATTTTCCGCCTATTTTATCTTTCTCCAGTAATCCTTGATCAAATTAATTTTTATGTTTATTTTTTTTTGGTACCCACGCTTTTTTCCGACGGTAATTTACATCAAATTAAAAGACGTCGCCAAATACCGCGATATATGCATTCAATGCTTGGAAACCGTTCCATGCATATTCGAACACAATATTTTTTTCCACTCGGAGACATTTTAATTTAACGAAATTAATCGACGGGATTTTAAATAAGTATGTTTTTTTTCTCTATTTTAAACAATTTTTTAAATTTCTCATTTGAGTTATTATTGAAATACAAATGGCATTTCTAATATTATTTTGAGTCATCAAAATATTAAACCTTATTTTGTTTTTGATGGCTTTTTAAAATTGAATTTTATGTTATAACTTTCTTAAATAGGTTCCATTAGTAATTTGTTAACAGAATACTTGAAGTTATTATGGTTTGCTTGGTACTTACTTATTATAGCAACAAACACCAACGTTCAAGATAACTCGCCAAGTTGGCAACCCTGATTTCCCATAAGTTGTAAGAGCTGAATTCGCAATCATGTGCTTCATTTCATATAATGTCGCCAATAGGTTGCAATAACACGTAAGTACCATTTGCTTTTGTAAGGGACCTAGTTATCGCTGTATCAACCGTACCAATGATTCAAGGCCCCCAAGCTACAGCGGTCCCAATACGTGTTACGACAGTCTCACTAACAGGGTGCTTATATCTGAAAAAGAACCCCAAAAGAATTTTGATACAGTGCCCACTCAGAGCTGTTTTGCAATTTCATTGTATTATTGCAACAATCGCCAACTTTATTAATAACTCGTCAAGTTGGCGCCCTGTTTTTAATGTGTCG